AATTGGGTCGAACAACTCGCCCATTTCATCATGTTCCTCTACATTTTTGTCCGAATCTGTTATATTTTTACTTGTATCACTTTTATATGTACTGTTTGGGTATTTACCCTGAGCCGGGGTAAGTACCCAGATAAATACCCATTTTATAAATACCTACCCGCCGGGTATTTACCCAGCGCCCATCACTGCTCAAAACTAATTTACAACATCTACAGAAAAGCGACTATGGTGGTTCATTTACATGATTGGAGTGAACATATCCCAATTGGTAAAGAGGTAAGGCAAGGTGACACGATGTCTCCTAAGCCATTTATTACAGTCCTGGAATATGCATTCATAAAGCTGGACTGAGAGAATCAAGACATAAACATAGACGGTCGAAAACTGACGGGAAAAATTATGTTGAGCGTTGATGATGCTGCGTGAGCTGAAGGAAGTATGTGCATCGGTTGGTCTGGAAATCAATATCTCTAAAATAAAATTTATGACCAATCTTGTTCCCAGCGAAAACATTGTGATGAAAGGAAAGGAGATTGAACTAGTAGATAAGTACACCTATCTTGGCGATAAAATTAAAATTACACGAGACAACCAGACCTGCGAACTAAGGAGGAAAATAATCTTCTAATGGGCAGCATATGATAAACTCAGATATGTGTTTAAGAGCAACCTACCAATGTCTAAAAAGAAAAATGTTCGATCATTACATGACCCATGGGGCAGAAACACTGACTTTAACCATAACATCTGCCGACAGGCTTTGAATAACACAGCGTATAATGGGAAGCTCACTAAGAAATCACGTTACAAATGAGGATTTGCGCCGAAGAACACACGTTACAGTCGTCATTTTTCGCATCGTCAGACTCAAAAGGAACTGGGCTGGACATGTAGCCCGAAGGAGAGATGGAAGGTGGACGAAAAGGATGTTGGAATGGAAACCTCGAGCTGACAAACGGAGTAGAGGCCACCAACTCGATGGACATCAACACATTGTTAATAACTGGTTCCAGGCAGCACAGAACAGGAGGAAATGGGTGGAAATAGGGGAAGTCTATGTCCAGCAGTGGACGCAGAGGGCTGAGTGATGATGATGATGATATTGCCGACCATATAGCTATCGTACAACCGGCTCTAAATAATGAAAAGCTTATTGTTGGAATTTTATGTTTACTAGAGAAATCTGTCTTGGTTAATGTGTTATTATAAGATGTTCTAGTTTAGATATAAAAAGGATACAAGAGATAGTTAAAGCAAAATTAGTTTTACTCAGGTGATTCTACAGTTTCATTTACCGTTACACTAAATGCGTAATGAAATCAACAAAATGTATAATAATAATAAATTGTAGGCGTAAACAAGATACATTTATTATAAACAAGATACATTTTATTTTCCCGGAAGAACTAATAATGCAACAACAAAACTAAAAAGCACCACTCAATGATTCTAAGAAGATGAGAACCCCAACGAAGAGAGATAGTAAAAACTAAAATGATACGAAATTATTTGAAATTTCAATTTCTATTCATATTGATTTCAATTCAGGAAGCGAACCGTGGTAACAAAAGAATTGTAAAATGACATAACATCCGAAGTAATGATTCCCTCGGCAGCTTCTCTCGTCTGTATATCTACAAATTTATCTCGATCAAACGTCCCTCCTTTACTTCCGCCTTCGAAGCGTCCCGGATGCGCTGGGTCTTCTCACCTGGTTGAAACGACATGACGTCGAGGCTCTCACCGATCCTCGTTCGTCGAGTTGGGAATGCCGTGGAAGAAGAAAGTGTGTCAGTATGTTGGTGTGTTCGGCGTGTATCTTCGACGACGCCGCTTCGAATAGAGGCAGTTTGCGTCCGCGAGCTGATCGAAACTGATCGTGGTTAGACCGAGTACAGAATTTTAATAAAATACGTTTCAGTGAATATAATTAAGTATCGATAAACTTTCATGAAGTAGTTTTATTTTTGTTTCATCAACATCGCCAATCTTTTCACAATTTTGGATGTTTTTATAGAAATTTGGACACCCATTGAGGTAAGAAATTAATTTTGGGAAAAACTTTCTTTCATGACTAATATATGAGGTTGCGTTATGTCTATTTTAAAATATTTAGGTATCATAGTATCATTTTAGATGTGTTGTGAATTAAAGAACTTTCTATTGACAAATTTATTGATAAATACATTTAGGTAATATAAAGTAGTCTCAATAAATTAAAACTTTCACAGTTGTTTTCTTTTCCGTAACAATGGAAGCTCAGAAATATAAAGCTTTAATCATTAAAAAGTTGCTGACTCTTTCTCGACTTTCCCAGTTAGATGTCATCGAAAACTTTCATCGAGAAATTGAGAAAATCCACCGGTTTAATGTTTGATGGAGGCCGAAATCGACACGTACACAGTTACATTACAGTTCAATTGCGAGTTTCCGTGTAGTTTAGTTTCTAGAATTGAAACAACCGTAGACGATTGAAAATTTATCCTTCCAACATAAGAACACCGTTCGTTTGGATTAAACGAAGAGTCTCGAGTAGTCGAGGGGAGCTTTTGTTAATTGGTTTGTCGGTGCTCGTCGGCCCATAACCGTTCCGATTTTTCGTACCCAACTCGGTAAACGTAGCGGTTCCTTCTTTGTCGTCGTCTACCGTAGAACGCCTAACTAACATTTAGGTCATCGCAATGAGAGGAGCCATCGCTCGAAGATTTGTGGTTATACTGTTTTTGCGTGCTGCGTGCAGATAAATAACAATTACTGCTAGGTACTACGATTGTGGCAAGATGTACAAGGTTGAAAATATAATGATGACAAAGACGTAATATTTGAACGCAATTTTTATGCAATTATTCTTAAACCCACTTTACTCAAATATTCACGCAACAAAAACATTTTCTTTGTGCGTTAAAACATGGAATATATTAGCTTCATAAAACGTTATGTAAAAAATGTATGATGATTCATTTTTAAATTAGTTGCAATAAAACAGAATTTTTTTGTTGAAAAGTATGTTCTTAAGAATCATTGTATAGGTGGTACTTAGAACGTATTTTCTAGTTAATTTGCATAAAATATAGCACGATGCCAAAATAAAGTGAGACGAGAAAGTTGATGTAACACTTTTAATGTGCAAAGTGTGCCAAGAATTATCTAACGAAAAGAGTAGGCGATCAAGCGTAACGTCATAAAAAGGATACCTGCGACGAATTCTTCAACAAGACAACGATGTCATCCGTTAATAATACCATACAATTAATCGAGGTTTGTTGTCGCAACAATGTCTATATAAAGAACTAAAAGAGGATCGAAATATGGTATAGTAGAAGAATATGTGAAACGTTGAGTTTTTAAACTTAAATAAGTTGCGCTAACAATCGCTTCATTTCCATCTTTTCTCGGTTTCGATATGTTCTATAGAGATATTATGGTATAAAACTCTTTGTTGAGATCTATTAAAGTCTATTAACCCGTCATTGCTCGCTAGGTCAAGCATAACATACGAAAACAAGTATAGTTTATTTTTTTTCTATAATACCTGTCAAATTGTTGTAAAGTTGGTAAAATTAACAGGGGGTTTTGTTTTATCATGTTTTGAAATAGATATGTCACACTGACGTTTGAGCTTTCGTTATTCAAAAAGAAAAGGTGCATAAAAAGTGTTGTGGGGTGTTTATTTGTCATTTATTTACCTAGAAAAGGTATTTTGTTCTATTTAATTACTTTGTAGCACGTTTTTACAATAAATATGTACTTCGTTAAAATCGTATTTATCTAAAAATGTATTAGTATTTTAACCTCAACTATTTAGTTACTGATAATTTTAATAAAAATCAGGAAAACAACATAAATTTTATAAGGGTTCTAGATAATACCAACAGAAACCCTAAACAATTTACATTGACAAGTATTATAGAAAAAAAACGAACTATAGCTTTGACCAATGACGGGTTAAAGGGGCTGGAGGGAAACGTCGAGGGGACAAACATAATGAAGTTCTGCAAAGGGGGGAGAAAATATTCCCTCTATCTTCTCGAATGGATGTGGCAGGGAAGAGAGATAGAGGAGGTGAAAGAGTACTTGTATTTGGGATAGGTTCTCGGAGGGTAATAAAATAAGGTTGGGTCGCACATGAGAGTGATGGCAAAAACAGCGAACAGGGTAATGGGCCAGGTTTAGGAATGGGGGAAAACTTTTGGGAGAGATGTGGGAGAAAGAAAGGTTATGTTTGAGGGCTTGGTGAGGAGAGCAATGATGTGCGGTGCGAAGATGTGGGGATGGAAAGGAAAAGAATTGTTGGAGGATGTACAAACAAGGTATTGGGGATGGGTACTAGGGTTGGCGAGGGAGATTCCAGGGTATATAGTGAAGGAAGAGGTTAAGGTGGATGGAATAAGGGTAGAAGCTGGGGAAGAGGACTGAAGTACAAAGAAAGGATAGAAAGAAAAACGCATTGCAGGATATTGAGGGAGTGCTAGAGGGAAATTAAGGAGATAGGGAAGGATATTACAGAAGAGAGGTGAAATGTGAAGAGAACTAAGGGATAGGGACAGAGACATATAGAAGCAGGAGAGGACACAGATACGTGAAGGAAGATACAATGAAAAGAATCGGAAGATAATGACAGAAGAACTGCCAAAGTATCTCTTGATGGAAGAGGACTAGGAAGGGAAAAGATTGGTGGCGAGACTCCGCTGTGGGAACGAGGTAAAAATAATAAAAAAAATAAGTATTGGTCGAGACATTGAAGGGATGCAGTGAGTAAAAGGAGGAGACGATGGATTACAAGCATAGATGTCGAGATATTATGATATAAATCTCTTAGTTGAGATCCATTAAAGCCAAAAGAACCTATTAGTTGAGGTAGGTAAGTTGTAAAGGTGTCATACAGCGAAATGTTGCATAGTTGTGTATCAAAACATGAACAAAAATATACAATGAGCCCCCCTATTTGTCGATTTTTCGTCGTTTTGGGCGGGAAGCGTAACATGTTCAACCTTTGCAGCTTGCAGAATTCTGTCAGTGGGAGTTCTATGTATATTTAGTAAATTTCGTGTTGTACTTTACATGCTATAAGTATTTAGTTCTCTTTTGTTGGGCCTAGAATTCTTTTCAATATCTTTCTCTCAAAGATGACCAACTTATTTTTGAGTGTTTCGTTAAGAACCCATGATTCACTGTCGCATGTCAATATTGGCCTTAATATTGGAATTAGATTCTAAAAATTTGTTGTTAGGATATGCTCCGAAATCTATCTAAATATTATTTCCAATATTAACAGCGTTATCAATACACAAGATATAATTAACGATTCGTTGGTTTGTAAATTATGACACTTTGGTTTTTTTTTTTCTAAAACCGCCGATTGTATATCATTCGAAGTGTATATATGAATTATTTTGCATAGTTAAAATTTGAATTGTAAATTCAATGAGCATTTGAAAATGATAAAAGTTGATAAACACCAAACGATTATTTTGCAAGTCTAAATTAAAACTAACTACATACATAACCAAAATTGAATAACATATTACGATCCTCTTTTATGACAAATTTTTTTTAACTGTGTGCTTATTTAATGCAGGTACAAGAAAATGCTTCTACGGTTGACATTTCTTGGATTGTTGGTAATTACATCAATTACAACAGAAAAAGGTAAGTTCCCCGCAACCAAATCGAATTACCATTTATTGCAATGATTTTCTCATGCATTTACTAAGAAAAGATGTATAATCGTTTTTCACAAAAGGTAATCATTAAATTGTAAGACCAGTTAAGTAATTGCATACTCAACAAGTGTACTTAGAAAGTGTAACAAACTGCACGCGATTTCAAAATACCTAACGCCAATTAAGTGAAGCACCCGGCGTGAAAAAAAAAAATTTGGTCAACGTCCTCTTTATTAAAATTTCATAACAACTTTTTTTTTTATTAATAGTTCTAGACGATTTGGAAAATCAATGTCCTGAGATAAAAGAATGCCCGTTTAATGCGGATCCGTGCATTGATGATCACGATTGCAACCCAACAAGTTCTTGTTGCGATAGTCCTTGTGGAAAAATTTGCACCAAACAGCTTTATACAGGTTGGTAATTCAAAATTTATGTATCGAAACGTATCAATTATGAGTCACGTCCTACATAGATTAGAACCGTAAAAAAATATATTCAACGACCTTCAATGCGAATTCCTAACGTGTTACGGTCGTATAACAAAAAAACAAAACATTTTACGCTTGAACAGAATTCAAGGCTGTTTTTTAAACAAATTTCTTTAATCAGGATGTCAAACATTGAGACGAGCGGAAGCGAGACGAGCGAAAGCTTTAGGCGTCGACGAAAAGAAGGTCAGAATGCCTAAATGCGCTAAAGATGGTGCTTTTGAACCGGTTCAATGCAATAACGAAATCGTTAGTTCTTGTTGGTGTGTTGATGAAGCCGGATTTGAACTACCAGGAACTAGAGCTCCCGCTGCGGCTTTAGTTAATTGCACTGGTAATAAAACAAATTTGTTTTAAAATGTATCTTAAATTATTTTTTTAGCACCTAAATTATGTGCGGCTCATACATGCAGAATGTTTTGTCCACACGGTTTTGCTTTAACAGATGAAGGTTGTCCGTTATGTAGATGTCGAGATCCTTGTGAAGATATAAAATGTCCGGATTCGTTGGCTTGTCATTTAGAAGATTTAACATGTGCGGATCCACCATGTCCACCGATACCGACGTGTAAGTGATTTTCTTTCCAAGAATCGAAAGCCAGCGAAACTTTGTATTGAAGTGGCCACTTTCACTTTGAGTCGTTAGATTCCAAATAATTCACGCGATTCTCCGTCAAATACCACGGGAGTAGCCGTTCCCACGCAAAGGTCACGGCTTCGGGAGATGTTCTTCTCTTTGCGATTCATCTTGTGCAATCGGAATCTCCCTCGTTTCGGTGTTGCAATAGGTTAAGAACGTGAAACGCCTATAATATCAACAATAGAGCTGTTGCAATCACGTATTTTCTAATTGATTCTTTCGCATTGGCATTCGATCTATGTACAAAAAAAAATGTGTCACGTCCCAAGGACATGAATTTTTTTGTCTTTGACGGTGCGTTTTTAATTTCTTTGCAGGTAAAAGAGGTCGTAGTTTAGAAAATATATGTCCCGTGGGCGATCCGTTAAGAATAAGCGAAACAGTTCGTCCATTTTTATGTGGAAATGATGCTAGTAAACCGAGTTGTCCTCCATTGTACCAATGTTTGGTTCAACCAGGTAAAGTGCACTTTCTAAATTCACTCTTTAAATGCTAATTTGTCACCACGCCTCTACCTTTTCGTACCTAATCAATAAATCAGCTTTGTCATGAATTTGCATCACAGATGCACCTTCTATAGTTGAATTCTTCAGCTAACTCACGAGTCACTCAAACGTGACAATCATTTCTACTTGACCTTTCAGGAAATGAATACGGCGTGTGCTGCCCGGCTTCTTTACAAATAAGAAAGACGGGCACGTGTCCGCTGAAGAACGAAGAAAGTTTAGATTGCGGTACGATGTGTACCCACGATTTAGAATGTCCTTCCATCCAGAAATGTTGCGATTCCGAACAATGCGGAACATCTTGTGTACATCCCAAAAACGCTACAGAATGTTTTCATCAAAAATCTGTATCGGAATTATTAACGATTAATGAAAATTCTAAAGGATACGTTCCACAATGCACCGTTGATGGACAATTCGAACCAAAACAGTGTAGTAGAAATGGATTAGTTTGTTGGTGTGTTGATAGAATGGGACGAAAATTAAGAGGATCAATGGGTCCAGCTGATATGGCTAATTGTTCTTTAACAGATGGTAAAAACAATAATTATAATAGAATTTAGTTTTTTTAATTAATTATTGTTTTCAAAATACAGCTAGGAGTCAATCGTTAGGAAGAAGCATCAATAACAATGGTGTTCAATGTGAACGACATGAATGTGCAGCAATTTGCGAATATGGTTTCAAATTAGATGAAGATGGTTGCCCAACTTGTAAATGTGACGATCCTTGTGATGGATACACATGTCCTGAAGATGAAGAATGCGTAACTGTTAAAGACTCAACTTGCGCCGATATATTTTGCCCTACTCTACCATTCTGTCGACCCAAAGCCATTTATACAAATCCATGTTTAGATGGAACACCATTAACTGACGAATCTAGCGGCGCACCAATCGCTTGTGCTTTTGAAGAAGGTGATGGAACTCTTTGTCCTGGTACACATAATTGTACCGCGGTACCAGGATCAACCCAAGCAGTTTGTTGCCCGATTGTATCCCATGAAAATATTCAAGAAGATGTAGAAAGAGTCCAAACTAGTATGGCTATCAAATCAATTTAATTAAAATTAATTAATTAATTTAATTTTTATTTTAGTGTGTTATTATTTACATAGTTTTTCTGAAAGCATGGAAGGAACGAGGGATGGTATGACCATTGCGATTCCTCCACCATCTTGTGACAAAAACGGAAATTTCTTGATGACTCAATGCCACGATGGGTACTGCTGGTGCGTTGATCAATTTGGTACCGAAATTCCTCGTACGAAAGGATTTGGAAACGCAACAAGGAATTGTGAAGAATTAAGACGAACTTCCGAATGCTTAGATTTAACTTGTCGAATGGGATGCGACTATGGGTTCATTTTAGAAGAAGACACAGGATGTCCTAGTTGCCAATGTCGAGATCCTTGCTCCAGCGTGAATTGCGGCGAAAACGAACAATGTCAATTAGTCGAAGTTAGCTGCAAAGACCATTATTGCGCACCAGTTCCAGCTTGTAACTAATAAATATCTTTTTTCTTTTTAAATTCAATTAATAAACTTTCCATCTTTCTAGGTCTCCCAAAAAAAGTGGGGCAATGCCCGTATATAGTTCCCGCGACGTCTTCTTCTTGCGAATTTGAGTGCAGTTCGGATTTAGCTTGCAACGGAACTATGAGATGTTGTTCTAATGGTTGTGGCACTCAATGTACCGAACCGCTATTATTAACAGCTTGCCAACACGAAAAATTATTAGCCACACATCACGCTCACGAAGCTGCATTACCAGGAAACATGTTCTACATCCCAAGATGCAAAGAAGATGGAAGTTTCGAATCAAAACAATGTCACCCTCTAAAAAGACAGTGTTGGTGCGTCGATTCACGAGGATTCGAAATCTCCCAAACACGAACAGACATGAAACAACCACTAAATTGCAACAAAACCGAAAATTCTCGGTGTCCGTTATACAAATGCGCCGAAGATTGTAAACACGGTTTCGAAATTGATCAAAAAGGATGTCGTACTTGTAAATGTTCAGACCCTTGCACTAAAATTTCATGTAGAGAAGATGGGGAAATTTGTAGATTAGTTGACGTTGAATGTGTTGATGGACCATGTCCTCCAATAGCTATGTGTCTTCCGAAAAAAGAAAATCCATGTCAATATGGAGAACCTTTAAGATTAGGAAGTAGTGATGAAACTATATCATGCGGACCTGATTTCGAAAGTTGCCCATCTTCACATAAATGTCAATTAAGTCCTTTTGGTGAATATGCAGTTTGTTGTCCAAAACCAAGTAAGTCAAATTAAGAATTATTATTTAATCTATTTGAATAAACTTAGATATGTGAGGATTTTTTTGTGGCCATTATCATTGAAAGCAACGAAGCACTCGCTTTTAATAGGGAGCTAACACTAGTACTGCAACAAGAATTAACACTAGAATTACAACTAGATACATTCGGGTTTAGCGTACGTCTTCTAGTATTAGTTCTGGTGACAGTGTTAGCGTTAGTTCAAGGGATAGTGCTAGTGTTAATTTTAGCTTTACTTGTATTCAACAAAAGGTTGTTGCATTTTATTGAAATAAAACTAGAACTAACACTAGACCTAGAACTAGAAAATGTCGGGTGTAGCCGTGCGTCTTCAGTTCTAGTTTTACATTAGCACTGTTACTAGAACTAACACTACACCTAGACCTAGAATCATTCAGGTTTAGCCGTCTTGAGAGACGTGCGGCTAAACCCGAATGATTCCAGTTCCAGGTGTAGTGTTAGTTCTACTTTTACACTAACACTGTTACTAAAACTAACACTATACCTAGAACTGGAATCATTCGGGCTTAGCCGTCTTGAGAAACATGCGGCTAAACCCGACACTTTCTAGTTCAAGTGTTAGTGCTAAAGATAATGAAAGTATTAATTCTAGTATTAGTTCAATAACAGTTATAAAGATTCATGAAAATTGCTGAACTAAACTATAACTGAAAGAAAATGCAAACGTTAGTTAATCAAATTAATCAATTTTAACTTATTTTCTTCTAATTTCGTAGGAGAAGTTTGTTTTGAACCAATGGATATGGGCCAATGTGACAACGAAGAACAAATTGAGAACATCACCAGATACTTTTTCAATCGAAAATCAAATAAATGCGACTCATTCTTATACAGTGGCTGTCAAGGAAATCAAAACAATTTTGAATCTTTAAAACTGTGTAACATAGTTTGTCCCATTCTTAGTCAATGCGAGCGATTACGTGAAAAAAATCAACGTCAATCTGAACGATACAATAAACCAACTTTCACACCTCGATGTGAAAAATCTACTGGAAGATGGGAACCAGTTCAATGTTTAGATCATGTTGGTGTATGCTGGTGTGTTAATCCTCAAGGTGAAGCACTAAAAGGGACCGTTACACGAGGTGGTCAACCCGAATGTAACTTTAGACAAGCTCGAAACAGGATGAGAGATCGATCTGATGTTAGTCACGAAGCTGATATTGCTTTGGAAGAGATTATGATGCAATTGAATGAATTCGAAGATGATTTTGAAGAGGAAGATCAAACTGAAGATGATACTTTAGCATGGGAGTTACCTTTAAGATCAAGATGTGAAGCTTTGGGGGCGTCTTGCGATAGCAACGGACAATTTTTGTCTAATCAATGCGATGGGGATATGTGTTGGTGTGTAGATGAAGCTGGAAATCAATTGCCAAATACTGTTGCGTTCAAAAAAGGAGACCAACTTTGTTGTAAGTTAAATTATTTATAAGTAAATTAAATTCTATGTTTTAAATTTTTTAGTACCAACACCAATTGAAAGTGTCGATATTATTCTTGGATTTAGAGGCGAATTCGATGATATTACAGCCATACCTGTAATAAATCAAATAACAAAAATCGTTAAAAATTTAAGAGGAGTTCCAAGCGATGATGGATTCCTTACCGATATAAACAATGATGGATTGTATATTAAATTTTCTTTGATAGGAACTAACAAAGTCGACGTAGCTTATCGATTAGAACAAATGGTTACTCAACAAAGATTACCAGGAGTTTCTGCGGATATAACAAGATCAAGATTCGTACATAAACTTGGAAACATTGAACCTCTAATGGCAGAAAGAATTATTTCGTTAGAACATCGGGAAATCGTATCGCAATCACCAGTTTCCTTGATTGCTCATTATCACACAGCGTTGATTGTTATAGCAGCTGGATCTGCTTTTATAATATCCGTTCTAATCTTATTGGTTATTCTTTATAGAAAAAAAGTGGCAAATTTAAATACCGCCAATTCGAAAATTGTCGAAGACAATCAAAGGTTTTTATCACTTAACCGACCAATTTATATCGAGCTACCAAATGAAAAGCAAGGTCAAGAACAAAATGTTTTAGAAAATTCCCCTTCTTGACTGAACTAAGCCAAAAACTTTTCGGTGTTAATCTGTAGTATTTGTGATTGTATTGTGTTATTTTGTATATGAAATGCCTTATCTTGTACAGAAAACCATTGGAACGCGAACGCATCACCAATTTAGTATTTAAGTTTAATTTATATCTTATTATAAAGTATATTATTGTTAGCTTTTATGATAAATTAATAAAATAAAACAATCAAGTATTATAAGTAGTTTCATATAATTCCAGTTAAAGCTCTACTTCCCCCCAACAAATGCTCAATTTACTACGGGTGTAAATGTCTAATTTGGACAACATATTTTTATATCACCTAGTATCTAAAATCAGCTGAGTTTTGAAAAACAAATTCTATTGATATTTAAATTCATTTATATGCCTTAAAATACGAATTTCTTCTTCGTATGCAACATCTCGTTTCTTTTTTCCAAATAGGACTGTACCCGGAGCGGCCGTTGTTGTCATAACATTATTCTTATCTCTAAGCGTTGTGATTAATTTCTAAATACAAAAAAAGTTTAATTATTTTGTAAGTTCATTCGTATTTTTGAAATTTTTACCAAAACTAGTTTTATTAGAAAAACGGCAAATGTTAAAAACCCAATCGTCATTAATGCACCCTCGTTTGATGGGAAATCCATGTGATAATCATCTTCTTTTTCGAGGTGTTTAGCTTGTCTTCCTTCTGGCTTAATCGGCCATAACCTATTTATCTTATTTTCTAGATTGGTTTTATTTAAGAATATATATTGATTAATTAAAATGAAATAAGTAATAAAATTAGTAACATACTTATGTTGTAAAGAAGGTTATTCTTTAAATCCAATAAAATATTAAGTTTACTTTTGAAAGAGCCATGATTATGCTTTAATAAATTATCTTGGACATCCTCAATATAATTTGGAAATTGAAATCTTTCTTCTTTATTATCATCATATAAAAATTCTGAATCTATTCGTTTGCTAAACATGGAGGTTTCCGTTTGATTCAGAAAATAATCTGTGTCTGTGGTGTAATGTTGAGTTGTAGCAAAAGTAGTGTATTTATTGCTTTCAGTTGTATCAAATACTTCCGATACTAAAATGGATATATTATTGTTATAAGATGCTTTGAATTGAAACTAAAATTATAAAATAACCTGCGTCTCCTTTTGGTTGTGGAATTTGAATCCATTCGGAATTAACATTTTTTAATATACTAAAACAACCTAACACTATCAGAATCATTTTGTCAACTGAGAGAATCCTCTACAACGGGAAAGCATATAGCAGAAAATTGTTGCAGATCTAACTGAACTTTTTTCCGCTTGTTGCATCTTTTGTTCTGAATGTATTTATAATAACGGAAAAGTGACAATGAACGGATACTAAAAAAAAAATATTTCTGTATATAAAATAGTCAGTTTTCGAAAACAATATATTTAAAACAGTATAAATTTACAATAAATTTGTATTATGTATGATACACAAAAAATTAAAAAATTTACAATTTGATTTTTGATGAAGCAGAATCTCTGAAATAAAAAAAATATATTAGATTTCTTTGATGTTAATAAATTAGAAAATGAAACTTACAATAAATATAAGTTTCAAAAAAATGATTCCTTTTTAAAGAATAGTTGACCGAATCTGCTCCTCCATTTGGATTTCTTCCATGTTCCTCTTCTTCCATCAAACTAAACTCCACCTTCATATCCTACATTTGATGTAGTGGTCCTTGAATCCCAGCGGAGATCCTCTTCTTCCGGTTCGCATCGTCTTCTTCCATATACTGGAGGTCCTCTTGATCCAGCCCGCATCCTCTTCATCCATGTGGTGTTGTATCCACATCCTCTTCTACCGTCCAGGTTGATCCTCCTTTCATTTCCGGTCCATCCTCTTCCTGTGTACGGGGTCCACACTTCCATTTGACAATTTCCTCGTCTATCATAAATTTTATAATTTATCAGTAATCACGTTTACCTGAGATACTTCTTTGAGGAGTTTCTTCTGTTATTTAAAATAATAAGTATATCTCAGTTTAAAATGTATATGTTTGTTTTTCATTGTTTACAATCTCTTCTGCAAAAGGTGCTCCTTTCTTCTATGGTGGGATCTTCTTTCCAGTCCAATTCTTCTTCATCTGCCACAAGTTTCTTCATCCAACTGCAATCCTCTTCGTCCGACCGAAATCCTCTTCGTTCTACTGAAATCCTCTTCCACCCAATGGAAACATCTCATTAAAAGATAGCATGATGAGAAGTGTCCAAAATTTAAGTCCTCTTCGTTCGTGATGTTGGATCCTCTGTTTCTCCGTCGGGGCTCCAAGTTTCCTTTTGGCATTCTCCTCCTCCATCACAGATATATACTATAACTTATCAGGACTCATCATGTTACCTGAGATCCTTTTTTGGGTTTGCTTCTCACATTTGAAGTTATATTTCGGAGTTCAAAGTATATATCCATTTTTCTTGTTCCCAAGCCAAATCCTCTTCATCCACCAAGAATCCTCTTCATCCAATCGAAATCCTCTTCATCCAATCGGAATTCTCTTCATCCAATCGAAATCCTCTTTATCCAATCGGTATCCTCTTCATCCAATCGAAATCCTCTTCATCCAATCGGAATCCTCTTCTCCAACCGGAATCCTCTTCATCCAACCGGAATCCTCTTCATCCAATCGAAATCCTCTTCATCCAATCGGAATCCTCTTCGTCCAAATGAAATCGTCTTCATCCAATAAGAATCCTCTTCGCCCAGCTGATCCTTCTTCGTCGGACACTGTACTCCTCCTCTTCGGCCATCCGCAATCCTCTTCTTCCGTCGTTGATAAACATACTGCAACTGGAAGCAATTCTCCAAACAGAATCCTCTTCAAATGCCAACATTTATCATCCGTCGAAAAAAATGACCAATCGTATCCAAAACGCCTCTTCTTCCGTGAAATGATGTCTTCAACCCTCGATCGTCAGACGTCCTCTTCAACTCCAAAGAATCCTCTTCGCAAGATGAATATGTATTTCTAATTGGAATCAGGTTCTTTGATTGCAGATCTTCTTCTATAGTTTTTTATTTCTGGGAACCTTCCAGATCCAATAATAATTGTCCCTTACTTTAGTTACGAATATGTACCGTGAATAAATGGCATTAACATTTTTGTTGTCTTGTACAGCATCCATGAAAAATCTTCAGAAATCCCTTGACGTCCTGGAATCTTCTTTGACGATTACGAAGCCTCTTCGGGAACTGGAGATCCTCTTCATCCGTTAGAAAATCCATCCTCTTCAACAGCCACGACTCCTCTTCGAACCTCCGGAATTCCAAGTACATTTGGATTGGAACGACTGGAAATTTGTTTCAATCTGGTTGGAAGAAACCTTGATGGAAGTTTGAACAGGAACCTTTCCCAGCGATGATTCTTCTTCAATAACCAAGAACCTTCGTCGACGACCACGAAGCATCTTCGTTGACCAAGAACCTTCTTTCATGACCAGGAATCTTCTCTGAAGACCAGAGCGCTTCTTCCATGACCAGGAATCTTCTCTGAAGACCAAGAAGCTTCTTCCATGACCAGGAATCCTCTCTGAAGACCAGGGAGCCTCTTCCATGTCCAGGGAGCCTCTTCCATGTCCAGGAATCTTCTTCGATGATCAGGAATCTTCTTTGATGACCAGGAATCTTCTGCGCTGATCGGGAACCTTCTGCAGCGGCCAAGAATTTCCTTGATGATCCTTTGAATCCTTTCCGATGATTTTTTTGTGAAGCCAGGAATCTTCTTGGAAAAGCAGGAATTTTCTTTGTTGTCCAAAGTGATGTAGTTGACGACCATGTTTGCCACAATAGAAAATCTTTGAAGACCAGGTTTCTGCTGCCACCAAGATGTCCTCCTCCACGGTCAGAAATCCTCTTGAATTGCAAGGAATCCTATTGAACGAATCCTTTTCACACGACCAGATGAGTTCTGTTGTCGGGAAATCTATATCATCACCAGGAGTCTTTTTCGGCGGCAGAAAATCTTTTTGATCAATGAATTTTTTATCTGTCAGTGCCTAAAAAATGGTGGAACGATCCGATTGATCTATTTTATCTCCATAACATGCCCCAATCGGATGTTGTCGAATATTGTGTTTATTCACTATCAACCAGTATTAGCCAAACGAATTCTTTTGAATCTAAGATTTCTGATAATCCATATTTTCAAATTTGTGTTTCAATTTCCTGCGATAAAAAAATAATACTTAATAACCACAATAATTATGAACACAAATTAGAATACCTGTTCTGTCCTCTTGATCTACTTTATATCCAAAATTTCGAAACATATCTCTACAATTCGTGTATATTTTTTGTGCTGATAGTGTTCAAACCAATTTTATTCAATCATATTTCTGAAAATGCGCAATTTTAAATGTTTTGAATAGAGTCGTTTTATTGTTTTTTACCTTCACTTCCTGGCATGATGCTTTTTATTCCATTTATATCTAAATATTAAATGCGGCTGCTAAATAATAAAACCTATCCATTACAAATTCAGAAATCCATTATAAATTTAAGCTGTAAAGAAATTGTATTAACCAACTGTAGCTCTTGCTTACCCATTTAAGAACCTATAAAAGTGTTATTAATTATCGCTACAGCTGGAATTTGCTTCTTAATTATATAAATTTTTCTAAATAAATCGTTAATGCATATTTTAGAATGTCGATTCTTCATCAATAAAAAATAAAATAATTTTGAAACCAATTCTGGAAAATACAATTAGTTGCCATGCCACATAGTGGCTACCATAGCATAATACATGCATTAAATACATTAATAATACTTGCAGTCACTAAGACCGTCTCCATTCTAGATATAAGCACACGTTATATTTTCTAACGCATGCTCAATCGGTACAAAATTTAAAAATATTCATTTTGAGACACATTTCAAGCGTGGATGATCAAACTTCTTTAATATACTCGACGGCCATTTGGTTAAAATAATCTATAACAGTTAAATAGTTTCGTTTGGCTCACAAATGTGGCGAAAACAAAAGGAAAATTGTGCGTTAAATGAAGAGGTACATACGAACAAATTGAGATAATTGGGAAAACTTAGACCTCGCAGTGGGTAAATTTTCGCAAAAATCCTAAAATTTGTAAAAAGATTATGCTGCTTAAAGGGCTCACTAACGTTATAGAAACATTTATTTGAAAGGTAATAAAAGTTGCGTTACGTATTAAGTGATCACTATCAAGCTGGATGCATCATTTAAGTATTACTTGCAAAATACACATCAAAATTGTTGGATAAGCCTTCTAATTGCGTGGTAGTTTTATAGAAATGGTGACACATGGTTTTTGGCTTCCAAACTACAAAAAAACGAATCGATTTTCGATGTACATTACATACCAGGTTAAAATTTCAAAAATTGGACAACACTTCAAAAAAAAGTCGCTAGACATTGGTATTAAAGTACAAATTCTTAGGCGAATTAATACGATGGTTATAAAGCATATAAATAGTGTTTTAAGCATTTTCTGGAAATCGTTGAAAACTTATCCCAAAAATGGAGATAAACCGTCAAAAAGTTCTGAAAATTAAACAAAGCAGACAAAATTAAGCCACCTATTGTGGCTACTTAAAAATGCACTCATGAAATACTTAATTTAAATGGATTAATTAATAAGTAAATCATTTCCTAGATTATGAGGAATTCTAAAACAGAGTAACTTTCGAATTGTTTCAAATGTTACGTTACCATAACGCTGATATATTTTCGATACATTCCTATGGAGAATTTGTTTGAAACATTTTATTGAAACCGGATTCTAAAATAAAATCGTTATACTTTTTACGTTACCACAAAGCGAATTGGTTTTTTTGTTGCAACTCCCAACGAATCACGAATTTTTTCGCCTCGATGCCGATTTAGAAATTTTATAGAAAATAAGTCTGAAAAATAGCGTTGGTTTGTAACTTGAAGTACATACGATTTGTTCAGGAACGAAGGTATGCTTCAAACATCTTGATCAACAACGAAATTGGATTTGTAGCTCGATTTATCAAAAACATCTAAAATGTAATTGTATTGTTGGTATTTTTCGGGTACCATTAATCTGATAAATGTCTTGAATCTTCTTAAGATGTTAATTTTTTT